GAAGTAGCAGAAAGAGAAATTAATCCCATTTATAACTACACCAAAAATAATAAAACACCTAGGCATAAACTGAACCAAAGAGGTCAAAGACCTGTACTCTGAAAACTGTAAAACTGATGAAATAACACAAACAAGGGGCACCTGGGTGGCTCTGGATTAAGCGGCTGCCTTGGCTCGAGTCATGATCTCAGGGTCCTGGGATCAAGTCCCACTCAGGGCTCCTTGCTCAGTGGGGAGCCTGCTTTTCCCTCTGCCTCCTGCTTCCCCTGTCCGTGCTTGCTCGCTCTCTCTCTCTCTATGACAAATAGATAAATAAAATCTTATTTTTTTTAAAGTACATTTTTAAAAAAAGAAGGAAGGGCGCCTGGGTGGCTCAGTGGGTTAAAGCCTCTGACTTCAGCTGGTGTCATGATCCCAGAGTCCCAGGATCCAGCCCCACAACGGGCTCTCTGCTCAGCAGGGAGCCTGCTTCCTCCTTTCTCTCTGCCTGCCTCTCTGCCTACTTGTGATCTGTCTGTCAAATAAATAAATAAAATCTAAAAAAAAAAAAAAAGGAAAGAAAGAAATTAAAGACACAAACCAATGGAAAGATATTCTATGCTCATGAACTGGAAGAACCAATACTGTTAAAATGTCCCTACTACCCAATACAATCTACAAATTTAATGCAATCCTTACCAAAATACTAAGAACATTTTTTTACATAACTAAAACAATTAATATTAAAATTTGTAGGAAACCAAAAAAGACCCAAATAGCCAAAACAATATCAAGAAAGAAGAACAAAGCTGAAGCTACCACAACCCCAGATTTTAAGATATCCTACAAAGCCGTAGGAATCAAAACAGCATGAAACTGGCACAAAAACAGACACAGACATCAATGGAACAGACTAGAGAACCCAAAAATACAACCACAATTATATGGTCCATTAATCTATGACAAAGGAGGCAAGCATATGCAGTGGGGCAAAGAGAGCTTCAACAAATGGTGTTGGGAAAACTGGACAGCTACATGCAAAACCATGAAACTGGACCACTTTCTGACATCATATACAAAAATAAATTCAGAATGGATTAAAGACCTGAGCATGAGACCTGAAACCATAAAAAACCTAGAAGAAAACACAGGCAGCAACCTTTTGGACATCTAGTAAGAAGCTGCTGTCTCCTGAGGCAAGGGTCGCAAAAGCAAAAATAACCTATTGGGTCTACATCAAAATAAAAAGCTTTTGCACAGCAAAGGAAACAACCAATAAAACAAAAGGTAACCTAGTGAATGAGAGAAGATATTTGCAAATGATATATACAATAAAGGGTTAATTTCCAAAATATATAAAGAACTCAAACAACGCAACATCAAAAAACCCAAATAATCCAATTAAATGGGCAGGACGTGAATAGACGTTTTTCGAAAGAAGACATACAAATGGCCAACAGACACATGAAAAGATGTTCAACATCACTAATCACCACAGAAATGCAAATCACAACTACAGTGAGCTATCACCTTACACCTGTCAGGATGGTTAAAATAAAAAACACAAGAAATAACAAGTGCTGGTGAGGATATGGGAAAAAAGGGACCCTCGTCCACCACTGGTGGGAATGCAAGCTGGTGCAGCCACTGCGGACAGCAGTATGGAGGTTCCTCAAAAAATTAAAAACAGAATCAGTATATGATCCAGTAATCCCATGACTGGGTATTTACCCAAAGAAAATGAAAACACTAACACAAAAAGATACACACACCCTTATGTTCACAGCAGCAGCATCAACAAAAGCCCAGATATGAAAGCAGACCAAGTGTCCATCCAGAGATGAATGGATAAAGAAGATGTAGTATATACACACAACGGAACATCACCTAGCCGCAAAAAAGGACGGGGTCTTGCCATCTGCAACACGGATTGGCCTAGAAGATACGATGCGAAGTGAAATAAGTCAGCCAGCAAAACACAAATACCATATGCTTTTGCATATATGGAATTTAAGAAACAGAACAAAGAACAAACAAAAAGAGACCAAAAAAACCTTCTTAAATAAAGAGAACAAACTGGTGGTTGTCACAGAGGCGGTGGGTGGGAGGTCGGGTAAAATAAAGGGGATTAAGGGTACACCCACTGTGATGAGCACTGAGTAATGTACAGAACTGTTGGATAATTATACTATATATCTGAAACTAATAAAACACTGTACATACATTACACTTCGACTAAAAAAAAGTACATACCAAAAAAAAAATACTAAGGTAAAAATGTTTTTCAAAAGAAAAAACAAGTGATAAAAAAACCTGTCAATAGCCAATTAATTAATGCATCTTGATATGTTATTTCCATAGGATACTGACAAAGAATCAAAGGAAATTACAATAGAGAAGTGGCCACTTCTCCCTAGGAATCAAAAGCTGGAAAATGGATCTTGGATCAACCCAAAGGAAACCAGAAAAGATACCAATTCAACTGTGAGCTGAGACATTCTGGGTGCTTCTCTCCCAGAGAACTGGCTTTTTATAGAGGTCATGTGGAAGGAGTGTCTTCACGGATGGTACAGGCTGAGCATTCACGACTTGAGGTGTTCTGGGCATGTACTTTCCTTCTGGAACAGGTAGTGTGGTGACTGTGCCGTGGGCGGGGGGCCTGAAGGAGCCACACACCTGATGCCCCCAGGTCTCAGGGTCAATCTAACCAAGGATTTCCCTTTTCTTTCTGCAGAGCCTAGAATACCGCTTGCTATACAACAGGTGCTCAAAACATGTCTACCTAACAGAAATGATAAGCCCTACTGATACTTAACTGCTCCACATGTGACCTTATAAGGCACCCTTCCCATAGTCAGGACACTCGACGCATGAGCGGAGGTGGCAGCCTCTGGCTCTGACAACTGCTTGTGAAGCTGTTACAGAGATACATCCTGGCAGCTGCGGTTTCTCAAAACTCCACTGGTGGTCATAATGCACAGGGTGTCAAGCCACTAATCTGTGAACAGAGCTAGGAAATGCACTTCGCACAGAACCAAATTCTGGAAGGGGGCGTCGTGTGTGTGTGTGAGAGAGAGAGAGAGAGAGAACAGAAAACGCAGAACCAGGACTTGGATACTTTATTGAACTCCATGTGGATTATTAGATCAAAGACCAAGGCACACGACAATATAAACAAGGACTTTATCGCATTAAGAGGCCATACACACCCTGGCAGTCAGACACTGAGCTCACTACTCCTGGGCAACGGCGGGGGCCTACTGCAGCCTCAAGCTGGGCACTTTGTTTCAACACCGAAATCTGAAACACCATTCAAGGTTTGGCCTCTAAGCCTTTCTTCCTTTCCAACCAATAAGGACTTTGTTGCGAAGCCCCACACGGGAGGCTACAGAGCCCCGTAGCTAAGAGGACAGGCTCTGGAAGCAGACAGTGGGGTCTAAGCCCTACTTCCCTACAAGCTGTGTATCCCCGAGCTGATTAACCTCCCTGCACCTCAGCTTCCTCCCTTGTAATCTGGGAACAGCAATAGGGTATTGCGAACTTTAGAGAACCCCCTGGTACCCACTCAATGAGCAGAAGTACCTGTAACCTCTGTTAAATGTCCCAAAGACGGAACATGCAGCCTGTCCCAAGCGCAGCTCCTTTTCTCCTGCAGATCCACACCAATCTTCTCTCAGTAACAGCACCACCGCCCACCCAGGTGCTCCAGTCACAGCCCTGGGAGCCAGCCCATTCACTGTCTCACTGTCATCTCCGTCCAAGCCTGTCACCTCTCGGAATCCAGACACTCCCTGCCTTCACTCTGACCACCAGCCCCTTCATTCTCCCCAGAGCTCCCAGAATAAGCTCTTAAAATGTCAGTATGATCATGTCACTTTACTATTTACTTCCAGTGTATGGAATGTGAGCAGTCATGATGACCCAGCGCTGACCTCACGTAAAAGGACAACACTGGGGAGTGCAGGAACCAGGAGGAATCTCAGTCCCTGGGTGTCTCTGATCTGGGCAGCAGCAGTCCCAGCCCTGTATTTACGGTTCCCAATCCACCCAACCCTCCGCCGTGTTGGAGCGAATGTGGTTTGAAGCCTCCCTTGCAGAAGCTGAACCTGTGCCCTGGTAACATGGACCCTGGAAGTGCGGTGCTTCTGTGACAGGGCGTAGGTGACACTGGCCTCTTGGTCAGGCAGTGGGGGTGAGGACGCCTGTGCAGGGAAGGAGACTAGCCACTCCTGTTACGCTGTGCAAAACATCTGAGGAAACAGTGCTTGCATTACTCGGGCGCCAGACTCCAGGCTGATGGAGGCTGCAGGTGCAGAGGACACAGAATTCAGATGCGGGGCTGCCGGCGGCTCCCGGGTGCTCTCAGCCAGGAGCCCCCGAGTCAAGGAGGTGCGGTGAGAGCCAGCCAACCCGCAAGCGGACGTGGAAGTCAGAGCCCAGCTCCGGCCCCACGGGACCTCCTCCAGCTCCCGAAAAGGCTAAGGAATTCCTGTCTCCCATCCTGCTTCCCTTCCAGACTCCCGCAGGCCTGGTCACGCTGGTCCAGCTCCCGCCGGACCTTGATCCGGGCCCCCGCCACCAGCCACCTCGCCTCACCCCGTTCCCTCCGCTCGAAGCACTCCACCCAGGCGTGTCCTCCACCCCGCGGCCTTACCCGCCCAGCCCGGCGCCTGCACGCGGGGGCGCGACTCAGGAGCAGCAGCGCGCGCACCCCGAGCTGGCGCGCGGGTCAGGACACTGCGAAGGACACGGGGTCCCGTCCTACCCACGGCGCGGAACAAGCCGCTCGCCGTCCCGCATCTCCGCGCAGGCGCGGCCGGAGGGCCCGGAGGAGAGGCAGCGCCGCGGCACCGCCCCTGACCCCGCCCCTCGGCCCTGGCCTCACCCAGCCCACCAGGAGGGCGCGGGCGCGACCCCGGCCAGGCCGCCTCCGGGAAGGCCCCCGGGGAGCTGCAAGGCCCAGAGGGGCACGCCCAGGGACTCCGCCCTTCCGGCCCTCACGCCCAGGCCCCGGGGCTCACCGCGTCCCCCGGAACCTGAAGCTCCTCCGCCCTCCGCCGTCGCCACCGGCCCAGCACCAGCGTGTCCATCCGGCCCACGCCCGAGTCCGCGGGCCTCTCATCCCACCCAGCGCCGGCCGCCGGCCCACGCCGCTGTGTCCACGCCTCCTCCCCCCCCCCACGTGTCCCGGGGGAGCCAATGAGCGATGGGGGGCGAGGCGAAACCTGGCGGGGCCGGCCCCGCGGCCGCAGCGAAGACCAGCGTCTTCTGGGCAAAAAGGCGCTTCTGTCCCAGGTCACCATTTCTCGAGGGCCGGCCTGTCACCTCTCCGACCACTCCGAAGAACCCACTCCTGTAGCGTCCCGCCACGCCTGGTCTACAGGCGGCGGATCGGCCGGAGGAGCGCCCGCCTCCTCGCTCTCGTGATTGGTCGCTCAACGCCGTCGGCAGCCGTCTTCCTGAGGCTGGTGGCTGATGGATGGCGCAGCGAGCCAATCCGCTTGGGCGAGGGAGCGGGTCTCTGGGACCTGTAGTCCCGGGGAGCTGGCCTCACTTCCGGGAGGCTGCGGCCGTGCGGCGGTCACCGGGCTTCCGGCGGGTGCGACCGCGCGGGGCTTTCTCTGCGGGCTGCAGGGCTGTGCAGGGGGCCAGGGGAGGCCTCGCCGCCCGCCGCTGCGCTCGCGTCCTCCGGGAGCCTGGCCGGGAGCAGGCAGCCCCCGCGCAGAGCGCGCCGCCTGACCCTCCTGTCAACCAACACCTGCGCGAGCCGAGCCTCCGGCAGTGGCCGGCGGCGGCGGCGGGGAGGAAGGCTGGTCTGCGGAGGGTGGGGCCCCGGGACGGCGTGGTGGGACGGCGTGGTGGCCCGGCCCCGGGTGCGTGGGCGCCGCGTCCTCTCCTGCCCGAGCCTCCGCTCCGGGAGCCGCCGCAGCCGTCGCGCCAGCGTGAGGACGGCCGGCGGGAAAGGGGGCGGCCCCGCGGCGGCCGGTCGCTCGCAGCTTCCGAACCCACCCGCGGCCACGCGCCTCCAGGCCGCGGACCTCGGTGGTGCTTCTGCCGTTTGAGTCCCCGAGCGAACCGCCCTGCCGCCGGCGAAGGCTCCGCCCGGCCCTGGGACCCGAGCGAGACCCGCCCGGGCTCCCCGCTGCAGGTCCTGGGCGAGCGCGCTGGCTCGTCTGCCTCCGTTCGCTCCCTGTGGACGGGAGGTGACGCGGGGCATCCTGAGGGCGAGGGGAGACACCGAGTACTTGGCGCAGCGACACAAACGAGATGCTCAGGAAACGGTGCGTCGCCACCGCTAGTCCCGCAGCGGCACGGCCGCTGCCAGCCGACGGTCCCGTATCGGAGCCCGGGGCTCTCCCCGCGCGAGGCCGGCCCCGGAGACCTCGCGGACCGCGGCGACCGCGGTTCACACACTGTGTCTGAAAGTTGTGAAGACTCGATGTGAAAGTTCTCACCCGAAAAACGATTAACCGTGCGAGGTGACACGTGAGAACCGACCCTATTACCGTAATCATTTTGCAGTATAAATATACGTCAAATCATTACGGTTCTACCATGTTCTATGCCAGTCATGGCGCAATAAACTTGGGAGGAGGGACTTTAGGGCCAGATGTGTTTTTGGAATTCAGGATCTCTAGGATTTTTTTTTTAAGGGCACTATGTATATGGTGTGGAACACCTTCAGCAGGGCCTGGGGTAACACCCTATAATCAAGCACAATATTTCTGTGGCAAAATGTGTGAATGTTCAGAAATATTCACCCAACTGGGACAGCTTTAGTCTTGTATCAGTTTACCTGAGTTTGCTCAAAAGGCAGGAAGAACTCACTTGTAGGACTGTTCACATTTCAGAATTGAAAATGAGGTGCTATCCTGATCCTGTATGACTCCCTCTACCTTAAAAGCTCTTTTTTTCTTGGTGTTGCAGTTCAGATGAAATGATCTGCTGTGTCGTCTGGTTTCAGTATCCCTGGTCTTTGTACTTGGGGCTGCTCTTCCAGATGCCGAGTCAACCGTTGGGTCATGAGGGTCATGTAGCTTAGCCTACAAGCTAGTGACAGACCCTCTCCTTGACCAAACTGCCCTCGGGCTCCCCTGAACTCTCTTCTCAACAAGTCCCCGACTTCTGGGCTTCCGTGTCAGTCTTTGCATCGTCCAATTTAAGCAAGAATCTTGCTAAGTCAGTTTGCCAGAATCCCCATCCTTGATACCTGATCAGCCTCAGTATCTGATGGGGCTCCTCATTCCCCACATCCCCCCAGGTGATGTCTGATCACCTGGCCTGCCTTCAGCAAGAATCCCATTAGGTTGATTTAGAAAGAATTGCCCGTCATCCCAGATGTTTCCTCCTAGTAACTTTTCACCCAACTTTCCCCTGCCCCGATCATACCCCTTGGCTATAAATACCCACTCTTCTTTGTATTGGGAATTGACCCTATTCTTCCTCCCCTGCTGCAAAACTCCAATGTAGTAATTCCTATAACTGTCATAATACATTAACTGTTAGAAAAAAAATTGCCACAATGATCTCCCTGAATAAAGTCTGCCTTACCTTCATGTCAAGTGTCATGAATAATTTTTTCTTTAACACTGTGTACAGAAATAGATATATATTTAATAGATCACAATTTAGTGTAATACACTATTTACCAAACACCAATCATTTGGGCATCAATTACAATATGTATACAAAACTCTGCTATTACTCACTTAGTATATTTGTTTAAATTAATATCGTAAATTTTTTAAACTAAAAATAATATAAAACATAAAAAATATATAAAAATATAAAAAGATAAAAGATAATATAAACTAAAAAATAAAAATAAAAAATTATATGTTTATAGTGCTCACTTTTAATATTTTAAAGCAAATGCATTAACTATTAGGAAAAATCTGGAAAATCCTCATGACATTGGATTCTTGCATATGACTCCAAAACCAGAGTCAACAACAACAAAAATACATAAATTGGATGATATCAAAATTAGACACTTCTGTGCATCAAAGGACACTATTAACAGTGATAAGGCAACCCATGAAATGGATTAAATATTGGCCAATCATGTCTCTGATAAGGAGTTAATATCTAGAATACATAAAGAATGCCTACAATTCCACAACAGAGAAACAAACAACCTGATTAAAGAGCAGGCAAAGGGCTTGCATAGACATCTCTTCAAAAATGATGCACTATGGCCAATAGCCGCTTGCAGAGATGCACAACGTCAACTGATCATCGGGAATGGAAACCCAAAGCACAGTGAGATACCACCTCACACCCGTTGGGAGGCCCATTGTAAAAACACAAGTGTTGGCTAGAATGTGGAGAAATTAGAAGCCTTGGGTGTTGCTGGTGAGAATGTCAAACACTATTAAAAACAGAATGGCGGGGGCACCTGGGTGGCTCAGTGGGTTAAAGCCTCTGCCTTCCGCTCGGTTCATGATCTCAGGGTCCTAGGATCCAGTCCCACATCCGGCTCTCTGCTCCACGGGGGGCCTGCTTCCCCCCCCACCCCCGCCTGCCTCTCTGCCTACTTGTGATCTCTGTCTGTCAAATAAATAAATAAATAAAATCTTAAAAAACAGAATGGCGAAGTCAGTCAGAGATAGACAAATACCACATGATTTCGCTGATATGCGGAATATGAGAAACAAAAGAGATGTGTTCATCTCTTCTGAGGGAGGGGAAAAAAACCCAGAGGGAAACAAAGGTAAGAGACTCTTAGCCCTATAGAACAGACTGACCTTGACAGAGGGAGGTGAGTGGGGGATGGGCTAGATGGGGGATGGGCATTAAGGAGGGCACTTGTTATGATGAGCAGTGGGTGTTGTATGTAAGTGATAAATCACAAAATTCTAGTCCCTAAACCAATATTCCACTGTATGTTAACTAGCTAGAATTTAAATAAAAACTTAAAACATTAAAAAAAAAAAAAAACCAACCCTGTATAGCATTTCCTCAAAAAATGAAAAATAAAATTACTATCCTGCTCCACTTCTGGGTTTATAACACAAGATAACTGAAAGCCAGGGCTCTAGCTCCCATGTTCATAGCAGCACTAGACACAGTAGCAAGATGTGGAAAGAACCCAAGTGTCCAGAGACGGATGAACGGATAAATAAAATGCAGTCCACCCATACAATGGAATACTGTTTAGCCTTAAGGAAGGACATTTTTTTTTCTTTTTAAATTTTATTTATTTACTTGACAGAGACAGAGATCAGAAGTAGGCAGAGAGGCAGGCAGAGAGAGGGAAGCAGGCTCCCCGCTGAGCAGAGAGCCCAATGCGAGGCTTGATCCCAGGACCCTGGGATCATGACCTGAGCCAAAGGCTGAGGCTTTAACCCTCTGAGCCCCCCAGACGCCAGAGGAAGGACATTCTGACACCAGCTCCCACACGGGATCACAAGGGCGTTATGCTCAATGAAATGAGCCCGTCACAAAAGACAAAGGATAACCCTACTTCCATGAAGTACTGGGATAATCAGCCTCGCAGAGACAGGCAGATGGTGGTTTCCAGGGGCTGGGGGAGGGGACTGGGGTGTTAGTAGCTCATGGGTGCAGACCTTCCCTTTAGAAAGATGGTAACGGTTCCAGACACGGATGGATGGTGTTGATGGTTGCTTAACGCCACCAAACTGTACACTTAAAAATGTTTAAAATGGTGAATTTTATGTTATGTACATTTCACTACAATATAAAAGTAAATATACTAAATAATAAAAGAGAAGTGTTTTTCTGTGCACTGCTTGCCATCACTTGCACACCGCCTTCCAGGGGAATGGCTCTCAGGAGGAAGGTGACCTGAGTTCCTCTTCTACTCTGCTCATCTCCAGCTCCCAGGCAGAGTGCTCTAACCTCTCATTCTCCGTCCCTCTCAGGGTATAAAATTGGGATGCTAAGAGAGGTGCCTACCTCATTGGGGTGCTGTGAATTTTGGGTGAGATACTGTCTGTCGAGTGGCGGGCATGACACCCGATGTGGAGTACATGGTCAGCTCACAGCTCACTGTAGCTGCCCGGCCACCTCGAGTCTGTCCCCATCTGAGCACTGGACGTTTCCAGTGGTTTGGTTTGCTGAAGGCTGCAGAACCTAACGAGTGATGTGCAACTGTTCATTT